TGCAATAAAAATTTATTAGTCTAGAAAAAATTTGTTGTAAAAAATAAATTTTTGTACGATAAATATTTCCCCACAAAATCTCTCAATCAAATATCGCGTTGTCTGTTTTTTTATCAAAATTTTTTTAATCGAAGATAATCAAACTCAAATATGTTTTACATATTCACTTTTCATTTCAATTATATTATTCGCGCAATATTTTTATATACACAAAATATATAATTTACAATATATTGGGTCATCTAAAAAGTATCCGCGGTATTTTGTTACTAGATATATGATCATCAACACACATCTAGTGACAAAAAACCGCGGATACTTTTTAGATGACCCAATATATTGTAAATTATATATTTTGTGTATATAAAAATATTGCGCGAATAATATAATTGAAATGAAAAGTGAATATGTAAAACATATTTGAGTTTGATTATCTTCGATTAAAAAAATTTTGATAAAAAAACAGACAACGCGATATTTGATTGAGAGATTTTGTGGGGAAATATTTATCGTACAAAAATTTATTTTTTACAACAAATTTTTTCTAGACTAATAAATTTTTATTGAATTTTGATACGTATGACTTTAAAACAAAATTAATAAATTTTTAATATTTAAAACAGATATAACCTGTCAAATTTTAAATAAATAATAAATCTTATTTTTTATCTTTATCTTATTTAACAGGAAACATTTTTTAATTTATCCTTTGATAATAAGAGACGCAAAATGTTAAGTATAAGTTTACTAAATAAATTTATTAAATAAATTTGTTGAAAAAAATTTTAACATCCGTTTAATCAATTTGAAGGAATAAAATTTTAAATAAATAATAAATCTCCTTATTTTTTATCTTTATCTTATTTAACAGGAAACATTTTTTAATTTATCCTTTGATAATAAGAGACGCAAAATGTTAAGTATAAGTTTACTAAATAAATTTATTAAATAAATTTGTTGAAAAAAATTTTAATATCCGTTTAATCAAATTTGAAATAGGAATAATGAGAAAGTTTGCCCGTTAACATAGTCCAGTGTAGTGTGTTATACGTCGTGCCAATGAATAATTTTGGCGGTAGAATACGAGTTGGTTCACGATCAATAGGTGATCAATATCAAAGATAGACGTCAGCGTTAGCGATTACGCCGATCGTTTTCGTCATTTACAGCCAGTATGCGACGAATTATGAGACGTAGCGGTCTCTAGGTGATACGAGGACAGAAACAGTTTCATCGGACGGCTGGTCATCGCCGGCGCTAGTAGCGCGAACTCAGCAACTGATAAGCAAGCCTGCTCGTTAATGGTCCGGCATCATAGCTTGGCAAAAAGCCAATATATGCCGTTAGAATGAGAATCTTATATAGTTTACATTCTCATTCTCCCATATTCTAACTTCTACCTTTGTACATTAACATGGACATACTCGTATATCTCGCAATTGATAAATATATTAGGTGTTGGAATTAATTCGTAGCGTTTTTTAATGAAAGAATGTTATTTATTTCACATGAGCATTAAAAAATACATTAATGAAAGTACTTCCCATCACTTGTAAAACGCTACGAATTAATTCCAACACCTAATATGTAACTTTTAAAGGTCATCAGATACCATAAATGTACCGTAAAAATAATGATTATAATGTATTGTAGCTTAAAAAATTAAAATCTTCTTTTTAATACATAGATATATAGATATATGTATATTTTTGATGTCCAGAAATTCAACAACAATTAGGTAACTATATATTTATCTTTATCAGAAATATTTTCTGCGCTGTATCATTTTTATTGTTGCGATTCGTTATTATTTAATTCTTAATTTATTCAATAGCGACAATACGGTTAATAATGATTCCAATTGTTTTTACAACGTTTCTGCAACAGTATCACGAGATAGAGACTTTAGCAGCTTTCACAATGCATTTGTGTCTGAATAGTAACTATTTCCGGCAGAGCGAAAAATGCATAGCCGCTTAAAGCGTGTATATAGCAGCAAAGTGCGACGGCAGATGCGTTATTTATGTAGCGGTTCGCTAAGTACGTTTCGTTGTGTGATACCTTCGATTCTGACGATCGGGGGTTACGGATCGCCGACGAGGGGTGGTGTATCCTCTGTATTCTCTCTTTTTACAAGGAAGAGCCGGCGCAGAGAAGCGGGGTGGAGGACCCGAATCCTGAGGCAGTGGACCGTGAATGCGATACCAGCTTCACGTAGTGCGTCGGTGTAGGAAGGGGAGAGGTGCCGTCAAACAACCGTTCGTCGATCGTCCCTTCTCGGTACACTCATACTCATCCCTAGCTTCGTCCTCCTCGCGTCAGCAGCAGGGGGTGATTTGTACGTATCAATTATGTCTTCCCGCTGGTCCCCAAGGGACCATCGATGACGTCGCTATCTCTCTTACATCGCGATCCAATGATCCAATGATTTTCATGATCATTTTGGGATTTTAACGTTTATCAAAGTCGTTCGAGGTATTAATTCAACAATAACAAATACTCTTTATATTTGCTTATTCAAATTAAGATAAAGGAAAATTTTACAATATTCCAGATCAAAGAATTTATTGAAATTAAATAAAGAAATTAAATTCCTCCGGAGAACAAATACAATTAGTTAAATGCCATGTTTATGTCTAAAGTAAAGAATTTTAATAGCTTTAGTGTAAGCTTAAGTAATATGAATATTTTTGTTGCACATGAGAAAGATCATATTTCTAGAAATATATAATATCAATTCTTTTGTAACACATTAATCTTATATTTATCTGTTCGATGAAATATGATAATAGTTTCTCGAGTAATGGAAGAAACTGGCCGGCATCCTTTTTCTAGCTTAATTAAAAGATGATTACCTAATGAGGGTCATCGATGTTTTTTGGATTCCAATCGTGAGTCAGGTCTACACACAGGGTGTCCTAACATTATCGTTATAGTCTTTTTAGCTCTATGAATTTTATATCAAGAATTTATATTTTAATTATAACATTAATTCTTTCATTAACGTTGCGATAGTTTAGAAATGTTATATTTGAAAAAATATGCGTATTCTATATTGCATTTGTAATATTTGTTTATGAGTATTTTATGATAATCATCGAATTTCGTGTTGTAAAAGATGCCTGTGTTAGCTGTCATTTATATAATATGTTCCAATATGCGCATCTTAGTGCGAAAGAAGCTGCAAAAAGAGAACCAGAGAAGAATTAATCATACATTTTACTAAATATATTTTTTGCCGTATCAATACACATTAAATGTCTGCATGAAAATTCGCTTTATAGGCACGATTGAAATCGCATTAGGATTATATTCCCCAAGAGTACTCTAACAGCATATTATACATACCGGCACACCGGTACTGTTCGTTTGAAAATCTACTCGTCTACAGGGACTTGCCATTGGAAATGCTTTTTCTATTCTCTCGAGAGAATGCGACATTGGCTCCTTTGATCTGGTGAACGAGCTAACTTTCAAGCTTTTGGAAGTAGCATGAAGCATACAGATGGTTATGATAATAATAATAATTTGATCTTCAGTCTCCAGTGGTCCTGGCTTCTTCGCTCGCGTTTGCATACCAACGCATACACACACACACACACACACACACACACACACACACACACACACACACACATACACACACAGAGTCTACACTAACTCACGCGTATTGCAACGTACACGACTATGTGAAGCTGACGACTCTCAGGGTCGATTGTGGACAATACGAGCGGATGGAGTAGCTTCGAAATCGATCGAGAATTAATCCGGCGCTATCGCGTCTTGCAACTGTTGTCCCATTGTCTCATCGCAAACTAAAATGAAAGGACGGAAGGGAGAGAGATGCGGATAAATTGCTGGAGCAAGATGGTCGAATTTTCTCCCTTCTTTTCCTCCTTCTTTATTTGAGAATTTCGGCGTTTCTTCAAAATTTTTACGCCTACTCTCCCTCTTGTACTCTGCAGTCTCGATTCTGTAAAATTTCGAGCTCTCATTATAGCGTTTCGTTTAGCATTCGCCAAATTCTTCTTATTTATTGTACTCGTCAGCAAAAACAGCTTAACATCAAAGTAAAGTTTTATGTTTCTGCCTCTGAAGAAGTAATAATCAAAGAAAAGATTGTCCCTCACTTTATAGCAATTATATCGCGGCTTTTGTAGAATTAACCGCGTCTATCGTTTACAGCACATCATTTGACGCAAACCAGGGACCACGTCCCTTCCTCTTCTTTAACGCCTCGACCACTTGTGGTTTCAACTACCTTCGACGATCCTTCCTAGCAGCGAGTGCCGAGTGTGGCGAGAATTATGTAATTATTGTACGGTAATTGTCGCGAAAAATGGCGGCTGCCTGACTTAAGTGTCGAAAGCAGCCAGAAAAAGGGGTCAACTCTATGACTTGCTGACGGGATATCTTTATGAGAGTGTAGGTCGCTTCAAGTTTTCATCTATGTGCATTATTAAATTAATTCATTATAATAGTTATCATTAAAATATTTAAATAAAAATTTCAATTTATAAAAATAGATCAGTTAACAAACTTAATCATTGCAATTTGGTCGAAAAAAACTTTTACATATTAATTAGTCACACATATATATGTGTGCGTGTATATACGATATTCTAAGAGAGGATTGCATTTCCTTTCAATTGCGGATCGGTATTATCTAGCTCACTACCAGATTCGTAACGGTGATTAGCAAGGAAGCGTTCAAACGCTTTCGATGCTGTCCAACAGAAGGCCGAGAGAAGGTCTTCGGCGTTTGAGACTAGAACAACGGGAATAAGTTTGGTCCAGCTTGCTTTACCTTCCTCAGGATCATATATATAAAGACGGTGACTCGTTCGCGAACCCTCGAAAGCCGAACAATCGCGTAGGGCAGGAATTACCTCCTTACTCACAGACCCTCGTCTTCCTCTACCCTTCGCTTCGCCTTCTCGCCTTTTACGTCGCCGTAAGTCCTTTTCTTCTGTTACACCTCCTTTTGAATTGTACACTAGGCGACATATACCCTCGTACCTAAAATTAGTCACTTTTACTTCATACACTCATATAACTTACAATTAGAATGTATATCGTGTATTAACTGTTGTGAAAGTATTTAAAACCTATTTTGATTTCTACATTAACTTAATGTCGTATACAATTTTTTTATGTTATGTTCAATTTTATATATTAAATAGAGAGAGAATTGCTTAAAATTCTTATAATACAATTTCAAATTATAATCGATTTGAATATAACAAATTTAAATAATATCCATAACTTCACAAACACAGAAATATATACCTAATATACTCTTTCTCACGCTATAAACTGCCCGCACCTTTTCATCCTTCAACGGTGCCGGAGTCATAACTACAAGGGCTACAATAGATAGAACCCACTGCCTTTTCTCTGCCACTTATTCGTTCCGCCAAATGACTTTGACCGTTGCGATTTCACGCGCTTAAATTGTCGAATAGATTCACAAAAAATACGAATCTTTATGATTCAAACACATCTTACGTCGCACCATCAATTCTTTTCCAAGAACTACTTTTTTCAAGCGCTACTGAAATTGATTTCCTTTACTTTATTACAGTTATTACATTGTCTTCTTCATTTTTAACTTTTAAATGTAGCGTATAGAGCTATTTCTTACATATCCGATCATTACTTGTGATTATTATTAATTTATTAATCAGATATTATTTTGTAAAGTCTTTATATAAAAATTCTTTATAATATTTGTTACGCATTATATGTATATTTTGCAACATCTAAAAATTGATATGACAATTTTCATCCATATCGCTACATTCAATTACGAATCATGTAATATATTCTAATTGTAAAAAATAAGAAGTTTTATGCTACAAAAGGTAAAACAAGATTAAAGTTCGTAGATGTGCGTAATTATGCGAAAAAAATCATGCGCGTGACAAAAGTTTATCGCATGTTTCGCGTGAAAAATGACCTTTAGCCAAAGTGGTATGATATTTCAGAATTTGCAGGAAATAACAACCGCGTTTGTCGCACAATTTTGCATAATTTATTATTGTCGAGCAATTCGCCGACATGTTACGCAATTATATATATGATGACAATAAAATAATGAAGAATATAGAAAAAAATAACTTGATTGTTAAATAGGGCTTGTGTGTGTGTGTGTTGTGTTTGTGTTGTGTCTCTATACATCACGGAGAGAATTTTTTTTAATTTATCCTGAAAATACAGTAGTTGTGGGACAATATTTTAAAGATTTTTACATGCACTTTAGTAAAATTAATCAAACTTATTTTATACTTTATTATTGTTTTATTAATGAATGAGAAAAATTTATATAAAATTCTCCGCAATACAATGTTATTTTGGGACTACCATTCATATTTTCAGGATAAATTCTAAGAAAAAATTCTTTCCGTGATTATACACTTAACATTGTTCACTATCTATTTTATATCAGTATGTATGGATTTCAAATCACATACAATAATTTTATATAGAATCTGATCTCGAGTTTTCTTTGGCAAAAATTAGGTGGAACGTCATCTTTTTTATCGTCCTTAAACGTACGTTTGTGATTGAACTTTTATTAAAGTTTATTTCAAATTTATACCAACTTAGACAATAATTTAAATAAATTTTAAGTAAAGTCTGATAATTCATTTATTATTATTATTATCGGAAGTTGATTGATGAAAATATTTGATATTATCGATCGCTTGTAAATGTATAGAGATCTCTTGATACTTGTGATAGAGGATAAATGCAAATATAAGGATCCAAAAGGATTGCACAAGCGTACGTTTGCGATGTTTAGTGACCTGCAATTTTTAATTCCACCCTATATATTCCGATTATATGCGTGTTTCGCGATAAATGTGCGGAAGGTCGCGAGCAATATCAGTGTATTATGTCATAGCGCGCTTTTTCGCAATTCGTCGCGCAGGGTTACGTCGAAATCTCGAATATCGATGACCGTAAGGTGCAGTGACGCGCGGTGATGGATGCATCAGCGGGACCAAAGCACCGGCATTTACCACAGTCGTTCGAAGGCTGAAAGAAATCGACGGTGGTTCTGGGTTGCAGCCTGGGAGTTGCAGAAGGGTGAAGAAGAGAGAAGAGAGAGAAATTGGCAAGTAAGACGGAAAGAAAGAGCAAGACCGCGCGGAGATTAGATCCCGCAGGATGAGTAGGTGGGATTGGATTTGGCAGGCGCGCGGCTCGTTGGCGGTAGACGCCGGTGATGCGAAGGAGTAGGACAAGAAGAAGGGACAGGGGGTGGAGTTTGGTTCGTGTCCGAACGGCGCGGCGCGGCGTGGCGCGGTGGCGGGCGGAGAGGCTACAGAAGGGAAACTCGGAGTAGGGTAGACTATAGGGAGTACATAGAGTAAAGCAGGATGGGGGAGGGTAGCGAAGAGACGAGAGAGAAGAGAGGCCGTAAGTGACAGAACGGAGGTGGTATAGGTGAATGCTGCTGGACAACCGAACCACCCGAACTGTACTCGCCGGTATTTAAGGGAGAGCCGCGAGCGTAGCGCGCCAGTTGTTAGTACGGCCGGTTCATACTTGCCTTTCGCGGACACTATCTAACACTCGCTGGATCGTCACGTCGCGTGACGTCGAGTGTAGTTAAAGCGCCAAAAGTATTGCAAAAAAAAAAGAAATATACATATATATATAAATCTTTAATAAGTAATCTCAATTTTTTTTCTCAATAAATAATCTTGATATAAATAATCTCAATAAATCTTTATGAAAAAAATCATATTTAGTGATGCTGAAGGGAAATGAACTAACCACGTGACCGTTTATCGTTCATCCTAATTGTTGATTCAGCCTTCAAACCGCGATATAATTATAAAGTTCTTTCTTCACGATCGTAAACAAGTAAGTGCGAAGTTAAGTGAATATATGAGGGACTACAAAATTTTTTAAACCGACAGCGGCGTTATGTGAAACTATACATATGGCATTATTCGAATTCTTCGTACTTGAAGATCGAAAGAATTTGACACTTTTGAATCTCGGATGGTACAGATGAGTATATCAAAGAGGTATGAGCATGTTTGTCGTTTACTTCATATACTTTCAAAGAAAATTGATTACTTTGAGAATAATTTTAATTTTAAAATCATTAAACTTTATGATTTTGTGATGTATCTATATATTAATAATAATAATAATAATAATAATAGTAATAATAATAATAATAATAACAATCAAGTACTAAGTAAAAGAGATATTCAGTTATAAAATGAATGAGATTATCATCGCTTTGAACTTAATATCGAAAATAAAGATAAATGTAAAAAAAAAGATGACGTAATCTTTTCGTGATAGCGCTTCCACAAATAGCATGAGGAGTTATGTCAGTAATGTAAATATACATTTCGCATTAGTAATGTTACATTTCTATTTTTTATTTAACGCAAGTTTAGTAATTACACATTTATGATTTCAAATGTTACAAATAACAGAAAAAAATATTGTTAATATCGATCAATATATGAAACAAGGTAAACGAATAAATTTTTAAATTGAAAATGCAAAAAAATGTAATTTGTATAATTTAAAGATACAAATATAGTTGTAGAAGAATTTTTTTAAGCTTATTACATATTTTTGGATAATTTTCTAAAGACAACATTTATTTTTTTATCTTATAATGAAAGAATTCTTTTTGTTTCTTATGTCTTTATTTATTCTTCGATTATAAATTATTCTCTTAAAATTATTTTGTCCAATTTCTTCATATCTAGTAAAATTATTCAGGCTCTGTTTCTATTGGATCACCTTATATATCATGACCAAAAAATCTATGAACGGGACTAGGCAATTAATCCATAGCATCTTATATCATAAAGATATTATTTTGTGTAACTTCATTTTATAGTTTTTGAATATAATTGCTGGAATACTTTCTAAAAATATAAAACAAGTGTAAGATTTCAGAAAAAAATTGATATAATATTCATAATTTTAAAAAACCTGTGGTAATAATTATGCATTATTAATGTTTGTGAATTAAAAACTATATATTAAATTATAAATTTTTTTATCAGATTTTTAAATCATGACATAGACTCGTGAAATATATTGTACACTGTTTATATTTTTTGGAATTTGCAGAAGTTTGTAAAAAGCTATAATATTTTTTGTTTAAAAAAGTGTATATAATATAGAAACTTTAGTAATATTAATTAAATAGTAATACTTATGTAAATTTATAAAATTTCACACAAAAGATAATAAAAAGTTACAATTATTGAAACTTGTACAAGATATTTTTTTTAAGTGAAATTAATCATGATCTGTAAAAACTTTTGGATTATAAAAGGCATCCTTATAATTATTTTCAGATAGGGAATGTGGACGACGAAGTCTTTTTTTGTATCGGAAAGTTAAATTAATTATTAATTATTCCGTTTCCGTATATTCTCTGGTTAAAAAATATACCGTTGTTATATCTTAATAGGTCTTTACATAAGTTTAAAACGTATTACAAAAGCCTGATGGCTTTCTGGAACAGGTACTCGATGCTGCTGCTGGCATTAGGGTTGATTTTCACGCAATCGTCTGTCGGAGCTTTACCACGAGAAGGTACATATTTTGCACGATCGAATGTTTCGTCCGAACTCACCGGGACGTCTTCCAGTCACAGTATTTCGGTCATCAGGATCTTGTCCGATGGACGATTGGAACGGTTCATCCGGTGGCCCGGAGCTTGCGTCAAGGAAATCATTATCAATTGGGGGTGGGCATAGCTGCATTTTTTCTTAATAGAATTGAAACAGTTAGATCAAGTCAGATAATTTTGTATAGCCGAAGGAATTAAGCGCGAATAAATTGCTTCATTGTATATCTAATATCTTGAAATTTGAACTCAATGATGTTGTTCTGCTTGTATTATATGGTTTCTTTCATGAAACGCGTCGAGTGTTTTCATTCTACTAACAAAGGCTAGCGTGTAACAACCTGTGTTATCCTCTTTCTTGAAATAACATTTTCTCGGATATAAGCAAATCTCTTCTTCCTATCCCACCTACAATCGTCCCGCTTCCCTTCCCTGCCATATATGTAGTCGGGAGGATTGAAGCGGGAACTCGGTTGGCAAGCACGAAAACAATGCCGCCTTTCACTATTGCCAATATGTGGAAGCTTGACTGTTATGTATACATTTAGCGTTGGTTAGGTCTTTCAAATGCCACCCATCGCTCCGAAGAACGTTGATAATACAATCTAATGGAACAGTCACTGTGAATCCTTGTCAACCGTAATAAGTTTCAATACAATTGGAATGTATTAACGCTCGCCAGAAGAATCGATGTTCAAACGAATGAATAAATTATACATTTTATTATTTCTTCTCTGTTGGATTGCATAAAGAATATAAATCTATTTTTATTTTTCTAATAAAAAAATTATATATGTTAATATTTATACACGTATAAATAACACTAATATATATTTATATAAATATAATCTTAATGTAAATTAAGCAGTTATGCAAAATTACATGACAATAAATTGGACTCTTTGTGAATTTTCTTTGCTTGACTATAGAGAGTCATATGTATACGACATAATAATGTAACTACTTGAAAAACGTACGAAGAAATTTCAAAAGCACATAATTCTTCTTAAAAGTACGTATTTTTTTTCTTTTATTAATAAGAAATAGAAGAGGAAGAAAAAAGAGAAAATATTGTTACATGAAAAATGTCGATTCATCAATAATATATGTCTAACAAAAACAGCAGCATTTTATAAAGATGCGATAAAAGAGACAACAGAATGCTGTAAAAATAAACAAAATAATGAGAAAATAATTTAATTATATAGAACATAATAATAACAACAATAAAGTAGTAGTGCATAAAATGCAATAATATAATTGTTATTCCATTAGATTTGAAAACTAAAAAAGAGGATACAATTTATCATGTTTATTCGTTGACAGTAACCGCAAAGCCAACCAAGCTCTTAAGCCGAAAAGCGGCAAGTTAAGTAAGCAAGGATTAGGTTCTGCGACAAGCGGACGTCCTGGAACCTCTACGTAGGGATCGGATTGGCCCCTTTTGCACTGGACCTAAACGTAGTTCGGTAGGTCGCCGTCCTGTTTTACTCTCCTAGATGGGACTCATCTGCTGATGCTCTCACGAGGATACCATGGAATACCACAACCACGAAGCGTCACTTTGCACTTAAACGCTGGACGAAAGCTCTTTTACCGTCGTGAAGAAAGTGCACGCTCGCTAACCGTCCCCTCTTTCCGAATTTGCTCTTATACCGCCTGAATAATTTGTTGGAAAAAATTTAATTTAATTCTTTTTATTATTACGTTGTATTGTTAAATATATCATATCAATTAAGCGCAGATCTGTAGCATATATTAATATAAATAAATCTACCGGCAAAATTATATACATATATATCTGCTATCTAATTTTTATTAATTTTGAGACAATAAATAAACGTAATAAGTTTATTTCGCTCTCACATATTTCTCTATAAATTTTACTATTCATTTTATTACTTTGATATATACAGCATTTAACCGAAAATTAATTAGATTACAATAACGTTTGTTCTCTCGATAGAAATACAAATGTGACACTGCGACAAGTCTGGCTTCGTAAGTCAAATAGAAAGCTGCAATTGATATATGCCGGTGAAACATTGACTGACTGCATTGACGAGAAGCTCGCGTGGTGGGACGACAGCGAGTGTTTACCCAGCTCTCGCGGTGTCTATCGCTATCACGATGACGGTGACGAGGTGTCGATCGAGGTGTTCCAACTGGACGGTAAGGACATTTCGAGGATACCCCGTGACCTCTCTTGGCTGCTGTCGACATCGGAGCTTCGTCACCGATGTGATCGCATGAGAATGCGAATACGAAGCCAAGCCGTGGCCCAATATCGACATAGGTATGACCTAGGATGAGCGAGTATATAGTCTCCCTGGCTCGTATAGAGTCTCGACTGGCTTATAATCTCTCGGCTTACGTAAGCCGCGTCGCGCCGGCCGGGTCGCTCGAAGCTAGGCGGTGCCCGCCTATACAAATGTATGAGCTTTAATTCTTTGTAACAGGAAATACGCAAAATCGACGAACGCGACAGCAAATAATGGAAAGCAAAGTCGAAGTCGGAATCGGATTCGAAGAGAATTATTCATGATACCAGGAACGCAGTGGTGCGGTCGCGGTGACCGTGCTACCAAGTATACCAATTTGGGCGGCTTCGGTATGGCTGATGCCTGTTGCCGAAAACACGATACATCTTGTCCTTTTCACATACCGGCCTTCGAGACGCGTTATGGCGTTTTTAATTGGAGAATTTCGAGTATGATGCATTGCGCTTGTGACGAGCGGTTAGTAATTAATGAAATTATTTAATAATTCGGTCTATAAAGAAAATGTTTGTGAGAAAATGGCAGTAAATACAAAAAAAAAAGGTAGTCTCTCTCAATATTTGAGTATAATTTGAATAAGATATTTGCATGAGTATAATCTTCAGAATATATTTACTGGACTTATTTAGTGTATTTATAAACGATTATGAGTTTTTTAATGTGCATACATTGTACGATATTCAGTACAAATTATTTAATATTTTTGAAATTAATTAATAAATTTCATAAAATTTATTATCGATGTATGCAACAATTTTATCGCTTCTTACAATTATTTTTATTTAAGATTTTTTTTTGTATACAGATTTCGCACATGTTTGAAAATGGCTGGGACTGCATCGGCGGATTTTATAGGCAAAATCTTCTTCGACGTACTCCAATCAAAGTGCTTTATTCTAAAATTGCAGAAGGTATGCGTGAAACGGTCCTGGTGGGGTAAATGTCAACATCATGAATATCGAAAGCAGGCCTACGTACGAGATAATGTTCCTTACTAAGGGTGTACAGCGTAAGAGATCGTTATAAAGAAATAATGAAGTATTCTTCTTCCGAGATGTCAATAGCAATTCTCAGGGATGTAATATTTTGTCGAATACTTATAATATGTCAAGAAAAACACAAAGAAGTCGATTAGATAAATCACGAAATTATATCACCAAAGATTGACAATACATACATCATAATTCGTAATGTCTTCGATATAAAAAATTATTATATTAAATCTATCGATATTGCTATTTATACGTTAGACATCCTGAATTATGAATTATCAGAAACAAAGGGATCGTATGCGAATTTATTGTTTTACTAATTTATATCTTATAATCAATTTCCAAATATTTAAAAAATCGAATAAATACAATTAGTAAGCTGTCTTTGTTTTTAACAAGTACAAAATATTTTATAATATATCTTTACTTAATATATTACATACATGTTTTATAAGAATAAGAATTCGATTCTTCATATTCGTATACATTTCATAAATGTTTATTTAAATTTAAATAAATATTTGTATTAATTTATTTCTTTTTTTCATATTTCTACACTTAAAAATTTAATTCAAGAAAGTCGATCGTTATAAGTACCGGCAGTCTTTATGTATAAAGTTGTGTTAAACACTTGTAGATAGAATTTGTTAATTTTTAAACATTATTAGCAAATTATAAACAAATTAATTAGAATCGTGGAGTTAAGCTTTAGGATAGCTTAGAATTTTTGATGAAAAATTATTATATACATATATGGTATGTATGTATTTATATTAGTTACAAGCTGTGTACGAGATAAATCTAGATTTGATCAAGAATAATAATTTCGATTTCCATTCTAATAATATATTTATACCAATACATAAAATACTTCCGTTCTGATACGATTCGATGTAATATATATAATTTATACGAAGAAATTGTAGAATAATTAAACCAACAAATTTTTCAAAATCATAATTCTTTGATCAATATAATCAATATCCGAGTTTCTGATCTGATCAGAAATTTATAAAATCTCTTCATACTTTTAAAAATCTTTAATATTTATATAATATTAAATATCTTATTAATAATTAAAGCTACGAATTTTCTGAATTTTTGTTTAAGAGAGTAAAATTAATTAAGTTAAAACAAAATAAATAAAATCAGATTTTATTATTTAATAATTATATTTTTATTCCCTTTTTAATTCAATTTTCGGAAAAGTTCATTACCTTTAGGGTATGATCAACGATAGGGTATGATATTGCAAACGCTTTGAAGCGTTTTTTGGTCAGTTTGTAAAATTCTTTCTTCTAATTGAACGCTTCAAAGCATTTATAGCGAGACTTTGATCACAGTCTTAGTGATAGAAGTCTGCTAGAAATACTTTAAATCGACAATTTTTTACATGGTAACATGTTTGTCAGGATAAGTATGATGCAGTATGATGTGCTATCGGTCTGGTGTATGTGCATGTAGTCACGTGGTCAATCGCGCTTGTTTCTGCGCGCCAAAATGCCACATGTTCTGTGATCTGACTGTCTAGGACAATTTGTTCTGTTGTCACACTTGTCACAAACATTATTAAGATTTTAATTTGTTCCGATATAAAACTTTGTTTATAATATGCAGTGATATAATATTAAAGAAAAACAGTATTTGAAGTTAGCAATAAGATGTTAGTTACGTACCTAAATAACTGTGCGAGGTTATAACGCGTACGAAACGAGAATGAAGCGAGGTAGTATACCTTGTTTATGTACAGAACTCAATCTTGCTCTCACATTGCACGGTGGCCAGAGTTTCAGGTAATGCTTGAAATATTTGAATATTTTTATATATATATTGAACTATGTATTACTATCTATATATATATATATATATATATATATATATATATGTATAATCGTTCTTAACAATTTAGAAGAATATATATTATTAGTGGTTAATTTTAAGTTTAAGTCTTTTTAAAATTTAATTTCAAAATTCTGAAATTCTAATGACTATATTTCAGATGGACAGCTTGCGACAATGGATACAAAGGTATCTTTAATGGATGCATTTGGACTCTGTCTCAAAATAAAACTCATCTCTCGTATACAGTACAAGGACATTTAAAAGATTCTGTAAACTATGATAATATCCTGTCTGAGTATTTTAGATTATCAGTATCATTGAAAGAACATTATAAACAATGGGCAAAAGCAGATACACATTTTCAAAAGTGTTTAGATGAGAATAATGCTGTTCGAATATTAAAGCAAGATGTTGTAGAGAATTTATTCTCATTTATCTGTAGCTCCAATAATAATATATCAAGGTACATTTTTAAAAAATTGCATAGTAAAAATGAATTTATATTGTTTTTGCTAGACATTTATTTGTTTTAGGATATCAAATATGGTTGAAAAATTATGTTCATTATTTGGTCGTAAATTATATTCGACTGAAGATACAGAATATTACGATTTTCCAACGATAGAAGCTTTGAAAGAAAAAGATGTAGAAAGTATATTAAAAAGAGAAAAATTCGGTTATCGCGCTGCATATATAGTTAATGCAGCAGAACGTTTATCAGCGTTGGGTGGGAGGGATTGGCTTTTAAATCTACAAAGAGAGAATGTTTCTTATCATGCTGCCAGAGAACAACTAATGACTCTGCCAGGAATTGGTCCTAAAGTTGCCGATTGCATATGCTTAATGTCACTAGATCATTTAGATGCTATACCTGTTGATACTCATATTTTCCAAATAGCACAAGCAAATTATTTACCACACTTAAAAAAACAAAAGACAGTTACACCAAAAATTCATACTGAAGTAAGTAATTATTTACGAGAATTATGGGGTCCACTAGCTGGATGGGCACAAGCTATTGTATTTTCTACAAAAATCAATACTAAATCTAAATCAATTGAAAAGCAAAAACGCAAAAACAATGAAAATTTAGTACAAGCAAAAATACTTAAGGTGATATGATCGTTTATGACATTATCATTTTCACAAATAATTAAGTTATGCAAATTTTATCTAAATTTATACAAAAATCATATATTAATTGATACCCTTTTAACAATAAATTTTTTGTGTAATTTATATGTTGTGACAATAAATATTAATTTCGATAATGTATTTAAATAAATAAAATAATATTTACTTTTTGATAAAAAAGAAATGTCCAAAAGATATAATTTTTGTTTTTTCGATGTGCAAAAAAATAATGAAAGATTTGAAGATTGTTTGAAAATAAGTTAAAAAATTATTTATTTTACATCATTTTACATTCATATAGAAAATATATCATTATTTTGTTATTCTGTTAACAGACATATGTTAACAGACATATGTTAACAAACATATGTACATGTACTCATAGAATAATCTAAATTTCTACATTTTTATCACGGGCTCATGTATCATTTCTTCTTTTTTATTCCAAATCCTACAAGAGCATAGTCAAAATCATCTAGAATAATGTATTGTGCAGGAAATTCAACGTTATTTTCTTCATTATCATAATCTGTTAATATATAAATAGAATTATTTACATGTATATTGCTTGTATTTAGACACTGACACATAAAAAAAAAAACACAAAGAACAAAATCTGTTCGAATTACCAATAGATTTTTGTAGTATGTCAGCAAAGATATTTTGAATAAGATAACGCAAACCAGGAAATTTTTTAGATAAATATGCCTTCTGCCAAGGTGACAAGACTGTTAGACAAGTGGTTTGCAAAGATACTGATATTGAACAACTATAAGTTAATTTCATTACACATTGAGCCATTGTAGAGCTTATTAATGGGTAAAGTATAATATTATTTAATTTTGTAAAAGCCACACCTATAAAATAATTAAAATTATACCTCTAAGAAGAATGATTGAATATTTTATGATTTGATTAAATATTTTATTATTTACCTAATGGTTTTCGATTTATAAAAAATTGTAATGTGCCAGTCCAAGTATCAAGATGTATTCCTACCAAGTCATCTTGACCAAAAGTTGTCCCATATTTACATGTCTTACCATCATGTTGTAAATAACCTTTATATGAAAAACCCCAAGATTCTCGATCTTGTCCAAGCAAAGCACAAAAACGCTCGCTTGCATTATGAAGCTCTGCATTTGCAGTTCCTACTCCAACCATCTAACAGGATCAAGCAATAAATTATGTTACTACTAAAGTGATATGTATTGAAAATGTATCATCAACATAGATTCAGCAAGATTCAAATAAACTTACTACATCAGTGCCATAGATATGTGTTATCATTGAAATCTCCCAATAATGATGCCTTCCTTTTTCCAATGATTTGTTGCCTTTTACAACAGCTGTGCCAGTGCTATACACAGGATGAAAAGTAACATTTAAATTATTATCTGATAATTTAATTGATGAGGTTGACAATTTTTCATCCCAAGTCCATTCATGTTTTGATGAAAAAAAGTCTGAAAGAAAATACATAATTATTAATTTTAAATCTACTATAGTATTGCTTTCTCAAATAAGAGGTAGATAATAATTTAAATTAATAAATAATAACGTACCATTTTCCATCTTTGCATGTTGATCCTTTGTAATTGAATCCATATTTTATGAATGAAATTTCGATAATTACATTACGTCATCACATATTTTTTAGATATTGATTATATTGATTAATGCAGGTGTAGTAGTCTCGCCAGATTCATCCATTCATTCTTCGATTATTTATGCTTATGAAATAACGTAGAAATATTTCAATATACAGACGCATTTGCAATTAAAATAGGTGTACCTAGTACTACACCTGCTCACTGTAGTAAGCAATTGAATATGATTGGTTAAATCTAAAGATCTCGAGATTTTAAGACTTAAGGACGCATTGATATTCAATAGAATTTCTTTTCTAATTAAGGAATAATTAAAGAGAATGTCAAGTTGTCTCCATTTAGTAGTGTAGCAATTCTATATTATCTAAAAACAGAATTAAACTCCTCCTTTCAAATTACATTGAACCAGAGAGAGAAACCTGAGAGTGGATACGTATCCGTATTTTAAATGAATCCGTCTACTAGCGCCTTCTGTATGCACAAAGCATGCACATAGAATTATGTGGCCACGGATATTTCCACGGGTAACACATCCATTTCGTTTTTCAATTTTCATCATACATTAGGGAGTTTTTGCAATCTCATGTATCCAGATGCGGTGACCGCTAAAATCACATTTAGTGGATGGAAAGTCAAACTATACCATCAATGGTTTATACCATCATTTTTTCTATTAATTAATTGCTGAAGATGGTTTGATAAATCGAATAATTTAATATGTATGAATGTATTGAGTCGATATAAATTAAACATTAAAATATTATATTAAACGTTGACAATAACAGCGGTGTCGCTCTCATTGATTTTTTTTATTACTAATTTTATATTAACCTTTTGATTTGTGTTTATTAAGAATTATTGATTTATTTTAAGATGAATATTATGTTTTTTGAATGCTCTCTTTTTGTCTATAAATGTTTGTTATAGAAATGTTGAAAAGTAGCTACTTATATTGCATATAAATATATGTATATTATTTTATCTAGATATTTAAAATGTTTTTGTTTCCTATTGTAGATATTTCTTTAAGATGGAACTCAAGTGTGCAGTTCAAACATATGCTTGGGGAAAACTTGGTATGAACAGTATTGTTGCATCTTTAATAAAATCAGCCAATGCTGATTTTGTAGTGGATGAACAGAAAACTTATGCAGAATTATGGATGGGTACTCACGAGAATGGGCCATCATATCTCAAGGATACAGATATTCCCTTGCAGAAATACATTCAGGAAAATACTGCAGTATTAGGCAGCAATGTTGTACAAACATTTTGCTCCAACTTGCCTTTTCTCTTTAAAGTCTTATCTATAAATAAAGCTTTATCCATTCAAGTACATCCGAATAAGGTAATATTTTTTCTGTTACATAAAAATAGCACATTAGTTGATTTGTGGATTTTCAGCAAAAGGCAAATGAGTTACATGAATTATATCCGGATGTCTACAAAGATCCAAATCACAAACCAGAACTAGCTATAGCTTTGTCTCCTTTTGAAGCGCTGTGCGGATTCCGTCCAATCGATGAAATAAAAGATTATGTAAATAACATACCAGAGTTACTTGCTGTCATAGGAGAAACCAATGTCCGTCGCTTAACTCAAACAGATGATTCTATGATCAGTGATGCTTTGCAACAGAGTTTTCACAGTCTTATGACTTGTGATTCTAATGAAGTGATACGCCAATTAAGAAGCTTGATAGATAGATTACATAATACAGGTAATTTTTGTATGTAGAGCGAGATATATAAATTCAATAAATCATGGTACAACTAAATATTTATGTGAAAAAAGTGTAATAAATTCTTCTTTTAAATAACTTTTTTAATAAACCATAATTTATTGAATACTATCTTTGCATTCTTCCTCATTGGAAGAATTCTTTGTTAAAAAGCATAATCATATGTAGTTGCTCTCAGACGATTGTTATAGGCAACGGGTAAAAGCTGACCTGTTAGAGCGTTTGCACAATGATTATCCTGGAGATGTAGGCTGTTTTACAATATATCTGTTTAATTACGTGACGATGCTACCAGGTGAAGCAATATACATTGGACCAAACATACCTCATGCATATCTTTCTGGCGGTAAATTATGGATTTGAATTTGCATTCTAATATGCATTTAAATGTAATAAATTAATTTAGCCTTTTATGTAATTTTCAGATTGCATAGAATGTATGGCATGTTCAGATAACGTAATAAGAGCTGGACTCACACCAAAACCAAAAGATATAGAAACTTTAATCCAAGTACTGTCATTTGAATGCAAATCTATCGAAAAGATTCAACCATCTCGGGAAGATACGTTTACTCAAGTTTTTCGTCCACCAATTTCAGAATTTGCAGTTGCCAAAATCACTGTGAGTTTTAATATTAAAATTAATGATTTTATTATATTTGATTGCATTGGATATATATTTATCTTAAATATTTTGCAGTTACCGCCTGGACAACCATCTTATAATTTAAAACCGAGAAACTCGGGTAGCATCCTTTTAATAGTAAATGGTAAAGCAAAAATATCTTCTAAGATTTTTTCTCGCGGCTCCGTTTTGTTTATTCCTGCTAATGATGAAGTGGAGATAAAAGTGTTATGTGGTTGCCATCCTATGCTGATGTTCCAAGCATTTTCAAATATTTAAGTATATAGAATATTCAACAAACATTAATACTAGTGTAAAATATGACTAATCTTTTAAAATAGTCATATATTCAAAATTATAAATTTCGATATGTATAATCATGTTTACTATCTGGAAGAACCTGGAATTTTTAGAAGACGTTTTTTTTAAATTTCTTTTTTCTTAAAATCAGGAATTTTCATGGAATTTTATCGGTACTTGATGAAATTCTGAAATTTTACTACTTTTAAATTCATTTTTTTTTTCTAAAAATATTGCTTTAATCATTTTTTCTTGATTATGTAAAATCGACAATTGATCAATAAGTATATATATGTGTATATATATATATATCCATATATATTCATATATATTTTCATGTCTCATAAGTTTGAAAAAAAATCTGACAATAGAAGATAATCAACAGAAGAGAATAGCTCACTGATATTATATTTAGTCAGTCTCTTTTTTATTAATATCTTGGTAGGCTCCAGTTGCAGAAAATGAAACATATCTCATGGTAAAAATCTTTACTAATTTATAATAGTGCTTATATTGCTAGAATTTTTTTTACAAAATTTCAATAAGCATTCTGATAATCATGTCGAAATTTTCAATTATTAGTGTACATAATCTTTTCAAAAATAAAAAAACATCATGAGAATCACAATGATTAAGTTTATATCATCACACTGGAAACTTTATATAGTTTATATTTTAAGGAATGTTATAATTATTAAAAAATATCTATGTTTATTTTCTTTGTCTCTGCAGACTTTTCCTCTTCCTTATAATGTCGATACTCTGGTTTTAATTCCCACATGTTTCTGTGAGGATTTTTTAAATTATAATTACAAACTTCATTGAGAATTTCCTTTAGATAAACCTGAAATTTGTGCATAATATTAGTATTAGGAAAATATTGTAATTTCTAAAATAAACTACATATTCTCTAAAGTATCACATAAAGATAAAAATATATTTACAATAGGTTGTCTTGTAATTTTTACAAGATCCCTTATATTGTAATATTGATGTTTTTCGAATGCCGCAAAAAGCATATCTAGCACAGCATCTTTGTCATCTCTCATTTTCTTTCCTTCTGCTTTTTTCTTTTCAGCATATTCGATCTATAAAACATTAACTGTTAAAGTCAGTTTAACGACAAAAAAATTAATAAAAATAAAACATAACTTACATTATGTTTATGATCAGATACAGGCTTGAAATTTTGCACAACTCTATCTAACTGTTGAACTTGTCTTTGTGGGACAGACGCTCTCTTGATACTTTCTAATTTTAACTTCATATAACAATTATCAGCTAAAAAAATTTTATTTTATAAATTTATTTTATTTTATTTTATTTTAACATAACTTGTTTTTAAGAAGATGGATGTGTATATATACAAATTTATTTGGCTAACCACTTGGCTAAGCACTTGACGTACCATATGGTCTGCATTCTAATTTCTGTACAATCCTTCCTTCCATAAAAAGTTTTTCTGTTTCTGGGACAATCGCATCTGAGCTTGTGGAAGCTGCAAAATTAATGGAGTTATTTTAAAAAATGTCAAACTTTAAAATGACATTAAACAACTTACGGGCAACATGAGAAAACACTCCTAACATTTGTCTAGTAACTGTTGTAACATCTAGCCTATGTTGTTTCGGTATTTCTCCTTCTCCAGATTCTTTCAATGCTAAAACAGCTTCTGATAGTTTAAGAGATACTTCAGCTTTTTGTCCAGGATTTCTAGAGAAAACAGATAAAAACAAAAATTAAATCAATCATAGATTAATCATAGAGTAAATCATTAACAGATTAAAATAAATGTTTCCATAAGTAAAAAATTACAACAAAATAACTATAAAATATTACGAAAAAGAATGTAAATAACAGAGGGAATATAAACTATAGATGTATTCGGGAAACGCTATTAGCGCTATTTTTTGTTATTCTATTTTCATCGTTTAGCTGATGTTAGCTGATGTAAAACAAGGATAGAATGACACAAACAGCGCTAATAGCGTCTCACCAAATGCACTTTATGTATTAAGATTTTATCATGAATTTATATCACTATTCTCATCGTACATATTAATACCAACATAATCAATTATAAATTTAATAATAAAAAATAAATTTTATAATAGAAATAAAAGAAGTTACATTAAAGACGAAATATATTATACTTTCATTTTGAAAGAAATAGTCTTCTAAATAGACATAAACTCACTTGGTGATCTTCAATTTGCCGACTTCTATATTACCAGGCGCCTTTTCCCATTTATTAGCTATATACTTAGGCACTTTAACAAGCCACACACCACGACCAGCATTACTCAAATCTAATTCTCTTTCCGTGTGCGTGATACCCGCGGACATTATTGCTATATTTCTTAAACACTTAAGCTCTAAATTCACGTACTGCTAAAATAAATAATTAGAGGTAGTGACAAGTACTGATAGTGAATAAGTGACTCGATTGATGAGTCAAATTCTCAAGACAAACCCACGCTTGTCATATGATGATATAAGAGGTAACGACATTTAATAAGAGGATCGACACTTTTCTTATAACTGGTAACGATAAATCTTTATTACTCGAGCTCGAACGAATATGACCGAAGAGGATGAATGCCATAATCTATCTGTACTCTTACTTTTTCTCTGACGCTGCTTGTAGGCAACTTGCAACCTACAAAATCCCTAGTCTTTCTACACTCGCTGCGCTAGTGAGGTATTGAGAACGTAGTTCTCTATAATAGCCTGATGGGATTGATCCCCCCGTCGATTTTTGTACGAATCGATTCTTTTGCCTCGATTAATCGATTTTTTCGATCGATCTTGTAACTTCGATTAATCAAATGTGAAAGATTGAAGCAACGCAAACAGCTTACCTAAGAAGAGCACGTTGGTTTTTTAATGCGATTAATGCGTTTCCTAACCTAAAAATTTACGTTTTGTATCGTTTTCATATGTACTTTTTGTTTATTATACTTATTTCGTGCTATCGTTTTTAATATATTGATAAATCATAATAATGCTGCTTTTAAACAGGTAATGTTAATTTGTTAAAATGATTTTGCAAATATATATATTTTGAACTAGTATATTGAAACTATATAATTACTCCAGATTTTTTCGTTTTATGTAAAAACACGTGGAATGAGCATAATTTTATTGAATTTGAAGATGGTTTGTGTTTTCTGAATAATTACTCTATTAATAAGTATTATACTTTCAGACAAATTTGGCAATGAAATTTATATGTATATATTATTTGCTACAGCAAATCATTAATAATCCACATAAAGCGATAAATTATGAAGGAACGTACAACAAAACAATTACAGCGATTAGAAAAGAAGAAAGCAAAGATGGCAGCATTTTTGGAAATTGCAAGACTCAATGACAAAGATAAAGAAGCAAAACTACAAGCTGCAAAACAGGTTTATACTTGGATCTAAGAATAATTTAAAATGATACTCTTGTGATTAGCTTTATGAAATTTTTAGACAGTAGCCATCATTGATGGATTTAACAATCCAAACAAAAATAATACAGCAGGAGATAATTCTCGTAAACGAACTTGTGAAAAAAGTTCTGAAAATATATGTTTAGAAGCTTGTAAGGAAGAAAATACTGATGAGCCAGAATTACAGGATAACACTAAAAAACCTAGGTAATTTTATTGATTTATAAATAGGAGATCATACACTGGGAATAGTGAACAATGACTGTTTGTAAATTAGGATTTTTTTGAAAAAGTACATCAGCTTAATGTGTAGATTTTTATTTATTTTTCCATGTAATCCTAATTTCTTTGTTATTGTCTAAGTTTGAATATTGTGATAGAACTCTGTTTCAGCTACCAAAGACAGCGATGCACTACTTTTAGATTGCCTATGTATTATAACAGTTTGATTTACAGTCACATATCTGTTTGTTGTCTTAATTTCATCAACTCTTGTTGCATTCAGTTGACATTTATTGGGACAAAAATCTGTAAATGAAGTTGATGTACATAGTTTTTCCATAACAAAAAATCTTAATTTAAAAAAAATTGTTTATTACTTTCCTTATGATATGATCCTTATATATATATATATATATATATATATATCCTATATACATATAATTTATATACATATGCATGCTCACACACATATGTATGTATGTATATATGTACAGATTAAGTGATAGCCAATATGCGAACTTGAAGGAAGAACTTAGAAAACGCAAGAAGAGACTTCAAGCAATTCCAAGACTCACTCTCAAAGCAGTTGGTGAGAACGCTATTCTGGATGTCGGAAACTTGGGAAAGAGGATACCAATATTTCTTAGCGATATACAGCATCTGCTGTTGTATTCACTACTTGGACACCACTCTCCTTACTTACCAGCGAGATGGTGTAAACTTGAGAAGTATAACAAAGTAATCTTGGTCAATGTAACATGAAACTTTCAAGCAATACTGTATTTTAGAGATAGTTTAATTCAAAATATTTAATAATTCTAAGTGAATAATTTTCTCCAAAAAGATAAGCCATACTGTAGTCATCGTGCTTGAAGGGTTGTCTTCGTATCATTTTATGGCTTATGAGAGCATGTTTCCACACATAGTACATAACTTAAAGCATCGTTTAGAGGTGATAACGCCAGCTGTCTATGGTGCATCCATAACAGAAGAACTTGCAGCTGTTCCTTTAACAGGAACACAAAGCGATAAACTAATTAAACGTATGTTATATAAGAGTAAAATACATCCCATTAAAATGAATATTTAAATCTACTCCATCTATATGAAATAAAATGTTCTAGTTGAATATTAGTGAGAATATATATTCATAAAATATGTAGTAATAAAATTTTATAACATATTAATTTCTAATATCGATAAAAATATATATTTTAGACAATGAAAGATAATTTTTCATTTCTAGGATATGGCTCTTTAGAAACTGCTTTGCAAACAAATGGAAATGTCATAAAACTGCTAAGAAGTGTTTTTCCAATGCATTCAATAAAAAACGATGTAAAGTTTTCTACAAAAAACTTGAACGAAAATTTACCACCAACTGATAAATTCTGTAGAACAAAGTTGCTTTTATCGTTATGGCAAATGGTGGAAGAAAATTATCCTGTACCATTAAAAGGAACATTAGCAGAAAGGCAAGGTTTTACTGTTCATTTTTTTTTGAAAATTTTTTTAAAAGTTTACTGAAATTTCGTTGAAAATAATTTTGTTCACAAAAGTTGTAAAAATTAATTTAGGAATCACCCATGTGTTTGCTGTGTAAAATATATAATTTTGTTTTCATATTTATTTAAATTATGTTGAAGTTTTTACTAAACTTTCAGTGAATTTTTGGCAAAATTTTTCCAATAAGGACGGATATTAATTATATTTTTGCAAATATAAAATTAACGAATTAATATAATTGTAGATACGGTTCATATATATTAACAAAAGATGTTTATGAAGAAGCTACATCAACATCACCAATGTTTGGCTTAGACTGTGAAATGTGCTTAACAACAAGCAACATTCTTGAACTCACTAGAATAAGTATCGTAGATGAGGATATGAATGTAAGTACAGTATTATATGTTTGTGCCTTAGACGATAAAAACAAAAATCGGTTCGATTATAGGTAATTTACGACAGCTTAGTGAAACCTGAGAATGTGATAACGGACTACCTGACTCGGTACAGCGGTATTACTGAGAATATGTTAGATGATGTCACGATTACATTGCACGACGTTCAGCAGAAAATAAGGACGTTACTTCCTCCAAACGCGATTCTCGTAGGACAAAGTTTGAATTCTGATTTGCATACATTAAAAATGATGCATCCCTATATCATTGATACCTCTGTAATATTTAATCTCACCGGGGATAGGTACTGTAAAATAACAAATATTGATATCAATGAATGTAGGTGCATTTCACTTAATGTTCTCTTATTTAACACAGGTATAGGAAAACGAAATTGCAGATCTTGGCGCGCGAGTTTCTCGGAGAGAGTATTCAAGATGATAAAGCTGGACATTGCTCAACAGAAGACTCGAAGGCTTCTATGAAATTGGTGAAGTTAAAATTAGCGAACAGTGTGAATTACGGAGACGCTGTGTTGCTTGGTGATCGCAGCATGAGAATCTTGAAAATGGAGTCTAATAACGAGACTACAACGCGAGAATTGCAAAAAATAGAAATAAAGAAATATGCCACGTCAATATTCAGTCATATAACGAAAAATAAAGGCACCACTGCCGCTATCGTGGGCAATGATGAAGTGATATCCGAATATTCTAAGTATTTAACGAACTCTTCTCTCAATGTCATGGATGATGAAAGTTTCGCAAAGGATGATCAAGTTAGTATGCATCTACAATATGTTAAAAGTTTCTGATTAATTTAAACGAACGTTTGTATCTATCAAGAAACTAAAACAAATTGAAAAAACACAAGACGAAATTTTTTCATTAATTTAATATTGATTTTCAATAATTGTAGGTACGTCTTGTGATAGCAGATAACAATAAACATGCCGTAGACCGAACTTCAGAAATAGCGATGGAACATGCTTTTGTATTGTGCCACGTAAAGCTTAAAGAAGAACAATTGAAAGATGAACAGCTAGAGGAAACGTTTCGCACTGTAAATAAATGGATTCATAAAGTTTGGCAATATAGCGCAATAAACAGTCTTGCATGCGTGATATTCAGTGGGCAAAATAATACTGCGAATGGTTCTTGTTTTTTAAATATTAAAACGGAGATATCGTCGGACATCGTCATAAGAGCTTGAAAAATGCTGGAATTATTATCATCTTGAGAACTGTGCGTGAAAAAAATTAATTTCGTTAATTCGATACAGTATCGAAAGAATCTATCTGGCTATGTATTTAGATAAATAACACACACTTGTATAAATTTTTGTTAATAGAAATATATTTTGAAATTTACTTATTTAGAATTATTCTTGCGAAACATACTTATTTCTATGACGCAGCTTGGAATTAGGTTTCTTACTTTTTAAATTTCAATAAATGGAACAGTTTATTACATATAGAAATACACAGTAAACAATGCAATGATAAATATTAGGTGCGCAACTAAGTTCTCGCTGAAAATGCATCAAAATAACAGCGAGAACTTAGTTGCGCACCTAATATAAAACTAAAAGATACAATTATTCCCCTGAATGAATCCGGTATGTTTTCGAGAAATGTGTCAAATAGTAATAAAAAATCAAAATTATAAACATAATAACTTGTACAAATTTTATTAACTTTTAAATTCAGAAAATATTAAAGAAGTACACACATTCGAACAATCAAATCTAAAAATAACATATACTTTAATACATATTAAAAAATCTATTATTTGGGATGACTCATTTTCTCGCAAAACATCAAATAGGACGACATTGGTTCTCTATTATTTCTAGTAAGCATACGTTCCCTGAACGAAACTGCAGCGGCAGCTCCTTTCAGTGACTGTTTTTTAGTTTTCTGCAAGTTTACAACACGAAATTGTGTGGAGCAATCAGGATCTAATATGTTATCATGATCAGTGGTCGTCACCTTTACTTTACCCGTTGTTGTTGACGATACAATTTTTTCCTCGTCTCGTGAAATTTTCTGTCTTTTTTTCACTTTCTTTGGCACGTTCGCAAGATTTTCGATCACATCGTCCGGAAGTCGTTTCAGATCGCTTGAAGGCAGTAAAAATTTTCTTTCTTTAACTTCTTTCTTTGATTTCGTAGGAATATTACAGATCGCATTTTCGACATCTTTACTTCGATTGCGTTTCTTCTTGGACCTCGATTCTTCAGTATACACCTTTGCATCAGTTTCATCTAGTTCCTTAGTATTATGGGCTACATTTTTCGATTTACTCATACCTAATGCAGTTTCTTGTAATCGTAATTTACTAGGCAAAATTTTCTCAGACTTTTTTGAAATTGGAATTTGTATTGGCAAAGTATCCTCCTCTTTCTTCTTCTTTTTCTTTTTCTTCTCTGTTCGTAAAGTTTCAATATTTTCTACTGCCTCTTGCCACTTAATTTTCTTTTTTACTTGCTGTTCTTGTTTATCTGTACGTAAATCCAACTCTAAATTATTAATGGCTTTACTTTTCTTCTTATGCTGTGATAACTCTGTTTTATTCCCGCGAATATTTCGAAGCATGTCTTTGTTTACATTTGTATTCTCTTCAACTATATTAATTTGTTTCTTTTTCTTCTTATTGATTTGACATGCCTCTTCACGAGCATCTTCTACGACAGATAATTGACTAAGCTTGGCACGTTTCTTCTTTTTAGGAATCTTTATTTCTATAACATCTGTAGATAAAGTTTTATCGATTATATTTTCCTTTGATGTATCTTGTTTTTTCTTTTTCTTTTTTCTCTCATTAATCTGACATACGTCTTCGCGAATATTGTCCTCTACAACGGGCAATTGGGTAAGTTTATCATGTTTCTTCTTTTTAGGCTTCTTCAATTTTGTTATATCTTTAGACCAAACTTCACGGATGATATATCTCATTAATATCGATTGTTTTAGCTTTCTCTCACTATGAGATAATGATACATCTTCAAGAGTATTGTCCTCTACTGTAGATAATTGAGTAAGCTTGACAGGCTTCTTCTTTTTAGAAACATTTAATTCTACAGTGTTTTTAGCTTTAGTGATATTTTCCTTTAATTTATCTTTTTTCTTCTTTTTTTTATTAGTCTCACATGTATCTTTGTGGATATTATCCTCTACATTAATTAATGGAGTTAGCTTAATCTTCTTTTTAGGAACATTTAATTCTGTTACGTCTTGTTTATCTTCAGACAAAACTTCATCGCTCATATTTTTATTTGATGAGTTTTGTCTCTTACGTTTTTTCTGTTTCTTTTGACTACATTTTTGTATGACATCGTCATTAGATGGTATTATCAAATCATGTATTTTGTCTTTCTTTTTCTCTTTTATTTTTATTTGTGTAGCATCCTTTTTTGCAGATAATTGTTTCTGTAATGAATTAATTTCTGTACTATATTCTAATTTAATTGGCGCACTTTCGTTTAACTTCTCTTTTCTAAGATATTTTAATCTTGGTGTTTCGATATCTATATTCATTGTTTTACGTAATGCTCTCTTGGGTGATTTCAAAGGATTTGTCAACCCTTCTACTTTCTTCAATAAGTCAGATAAAAGCGAAAGATCACTTGATTTCTTTTTTTTACTTGCATCTTTGAACTTCTTTGAACTGTCTTTATTTAATGTAAGATCTTTCTTTGATTTATCCTCAACTGAAATATTTTGTGTTGTTTTAATCATATCGTTTAACTTATTAGCTATATTTTCTGGAACTCTTTCAAATGTTTCATCAAGTTCTTTGCTGTTAAGATCTAAGCTACTAAATTTCATTAACGCGTGTGATTTCAATTCATTTAATTTTTCATTCAAGTATTGTTCAGCTTTATCTTTTGGACGTTGTGGGTCCAACATATTTTTAAGTGATGAAGAGACTATGTTACAAATACCTAACGACATACTTTCATTTTCCTTCACGAGGGATTTCTTTTTCTTCTTCTTAATCGACAAATCTGAATTTGAATCTTGTAAAATAGGTTTATCATTTTTTTTCATATTAGATTTTTTCATTTTTATGTCTTGTTTTGTTTCTGTCTCACTTCTACAAGGTGAAATATGTTCGATAGATTTGTTATTCTTTTCATGAGTTTTGGGCAGTTTATGAGAGATATTGGCATATAAAGAAACAGCTTCCATTTCGATGAATTTATTTTGATTTGTGTCTTTGTCTGCTATATCTTTTTTCTGTATATCTTCATTGTCTTCATTTTCATTTTCGATATTTATTAATTCCATGTTAAAATTCGTTTTCTCTTTTTCATCTTCCGCTTTTTCTTTTTGTACAGCGTTATCATCATCTTCATTATCTTCTTTGTCGTCATTTTCTGCTTCGATGTCATTATCTTCTTCAGCATTTTCTTCTTTCTTATTTTCTGCTCCATTATCATTATCTTCTTCGTCGTCATTTTCTGTTTCAATTTCATTATCTTCTTTATCATTTTCTTCGTCATTTTCTGCTTCAATGTCATTATCTTCTTCCTCATTTTCTATTTCAGTGTCATTATCTTCTTCGTCGTCATTTTCTGCTTCAATGTCATCAACTATAAAATCTTCAAGATCTGAACCATTGTCATCAGAATCTGAAAATTCCACTTCTGAATCCCTACATTCATCAGCAGCTACATCATCATCAGAAAACTTATGTTCCAATCCACCCAGATTGTATTCTCTGTTGAGGCTATCAGAATAGCCGTTACTATCATCAGTATTACTTTCGCTGTTTGCTGTTTTAAATAGGTACCTTGGAATTTCACATTCATCGCTATCCGATCCCATATTTGCTATCATAGAAGTTTTAGATCCAAGATCCATTGCTACTACGCTTACATCTATATCACTACTATCATCACTTTCGTTCAAATGTATTATTTTCTTAGTATTTATCGGTTCTGATTTCTGATTCGTAGAATGGTTTAAGGATGTATTTTCATGCTTTTTATTGCAATCTTCAGTTGCTACATTCTTCTTTTCAGATTCGGTTGCATTATCATCTATATCTTCATTACACGATCGTTCCAAGGCACGTTTTTTCTTATATAATTTTTTCCTAGTACTTGCAGCTGTATCATCAAGTTCTTTCTTTGAATTATCTGTTTGAGATTTATTTGGAGAAATATTTTGCATAGATATATCTTTCGAAGATTTGTTTAATGATGTCCTTTCTCCTGTCGATTTTCGTAAAGATATATTGTTCTTACTTATTAGCGAGCTTCTATTTAATTCATTGGCATCATCTCCAATTTCTTTCTCTAATTCATTACTTGCTTTGGAAGATCGTCTTTTTGTTTTTTCTGACTGTTCTGATTTATTTAATCTGGATATGGATCGGTCATTCGTTCGATTTAAAACTGTTTTGGATTCATTTAAAGATTTATCAACAGGGATTAAATTATTTTCATCTTCTGTATATCTAAAAATATCTTCATCTATTTCGGATACAAGTCTCTTTTTAGTTCTTGATTTTCGTTTTTTTACTTGTTTTTCATTTTTTTCATTAGAATCAATATTCATTGTAAGTTCTTCATCTTCGGTGGCTAATTGTTCAATATCATAATTCGCTTGTGATGCGAGCGAATCTAACCGACTCTTTAATAATACAGTGTCATCGGAATCGTATTCAAAAGATTCTGCTTCTTTTGCCGCTTTTATAGTTTCAGCCGCTAACCATGCTTGTTTGTCCACCAAGATAAGATCGTGTTCAGCTTCATTTTCTTTTTCCACCTCTTCCACTAATTGGGAGGTAGACTGTACTGAACCAGTTTTAACATCATCTTTCTCCTTCCATTTGTCAGCGGGGATATCTTGGAATAAATTAATGCCGATATTGACATCAGAAACATCATCAACGATATTTATATTTTCTTGATCTTTTCGAGTTCTTTCCATTTGTAAATTTTCCTTTTCTTCCTCCAAATTATCTGTACTTTTCCGTTTTAAATTTGGCTTCACTTTTTCTAACAAAACACCTTTTGAATCTGTTTTCTCAAATGATATATCCATTGTTGATTTTTTAGATGTTTCTACATCAGTAAGTTGGTTATCTTGAATTATTGTATCATTCGAATCATTACTTGCGGAATCATTTGTCTCCAGGACAATATTAGAAGATTGGGACGTCGGCTCTGTTTCTTGTTTCAATAAATTTTCCTCTTCTTGTTCCATAGAATCAGAACTATCAATTACTATTATTTTATCTTGAGCTAAAGCTGGCTGTTTATCTATTACAGTAGTTGAATCAATAGAAATTTTATTAATTGGTAATGATATTTGTAAATCTACTAATTGATCAGGCTTAGAGTGTGCTACGTTTGGCA